TAGGACACGAGTTTACAATGTAGCCTGCTCACCTAATGTTTGCGTTCATAATATTTATATTGTTTGCTAAATAATAACCTCATGTGGAACTCTGAATCTGCGTCTGATTTCAGAGGCTGTTACTTTCCACCGGAGGTTGCATTTCAGTCACAGACGCATGCTTTGAGAGCCTTTCTGACTGAATTAATGAAAGACCCTGTTTTCCACCAAGGCAACAGGGGTGCTGAAATATAATTGGATAAACTGACAGTGGGCGGGTTAAAGTGACCAAAACAAAGACAGATGTTCCAGCATGTAACACACACATTTTTAAAGCAGAACATCTGACTTCAGCATTGTTTTTCATATAAACAAGTATGTCTACCTAGCATGTTTCTTAAATATCTGCAAACATATTATGGTAGTTTTATGCTTTAGAAGAGTCAAAAACTTACATACAGCACCTTTAACTTAATTGATTTGCATCGGGACCAGATAAAGGGATCATGTGGAACCCATAATTTTCTATTGTATATATATATATATATATATATATATAATATTTATTTTTTATTGGTTACAGAACAAACTACTGTTGCCCAGTAACTAACCTGACTTACCTAGTTAACCTAATTAACCTTTAAAAAGTACTTTAACCTGAATACTTGCATCTTGAAAAATTACTAGTAATATATAAAACAGTCAAAAAAATGAGTTATTGATACTAAAATGTTCAAAAATGTGTCGAAATATTTTAAAAAGTATACAAATTTTACAGAATCACAGCTAATAGTCAACGGTAGAATAATACATTAATTAATAACCACTGTATATTAGTATTGCCTTCAACTATAAATGATGTTGAACTAAAATAAAATCCTTTGCATTGTAAATAATACCAAAATTGATGCTCATTTCATTAAATAGGCATCATATTCAGCATTTGTATTCCCCTATTCTTTTCGAAATAATATTTCTGCTTTTTTTGTATTTTTGTTAAAGCTGTTATTAGCATAACCTGTCACTTCGACATCTACTAAAATAGCACGACTAAATAGGCAAAGGCATCTGACAACAACCAAGGTGTGACCACTGTGTTCCTCTGATAAACAAGGTGTTTCTCTTGCCGATTGATGTTAATTAAAGCAACAAACCACACGAGGCCATGCGTCACAGTCAATCAAACTATTCAGGATGCAAAATGCTCAACTGTTTTAAAAACGGCAGCGGCAGAAATGTGTTTTGGAAAAAAAAAGATTCTCCATCACGATTTTCTGCCTTAATTCCATCTTCTTTCATTCTGCCTTCATTTTCCTTCGGCTTAGTCCTTTTATTTATCAAGGGTCGCCACAGCCACAGCGGAATGAACCGCCTTATTTTATACTTGGTTAATATTTATTTTCTATTCCCACATTCTCAACCAAACATTTGCGTTTCATTTAGGATCGTGTACCATAATTTACAACACCAGTGTAGACAGCAAATCATTTCAAAGTATTAAAAACATTGATAAAAGTCACTTTTTAACTACGTTTCAGCATCTAAAAAGCATGAAGGAAAAAAAACTCCCACGGATAAACTAAGAAACAAAATAACATGAGTCACGAAATACAGAAACTTCTAATTAATGGGTTTTTATAACAATATATGCACATGCATGCAATAGAAAATGAAAAACTTCAAAGATGAAACATGAAAACATGAAATGAAACACTTGAAAAGGTTTTAAACTATAAATTATTAGTCAGAGAGTACATTGCAGACTTCAAGATCACAAAATACTCAACAAAAATCGGTCACGCTAAAATAAGGTTTGATTAGTTGTTTATTAAGATACTTAAACAATAATTCTACAGCATTTATGGTATTTTGATGGTCCATTTAGTAGATTGTCTGCTTAATATCTGTTGATACTGCTCTTTAAATGACCTTTAACCAGTGGTGTAATGTACATAAGTAAATGGACTTCGATAATTTACCTTTTAATTTACATTTTGTTGGCTACTTGTACTTGTACTGAGTATTAAAAATATAAGTTTATAACTTTATTAATATAACTTAATATAATATAATTAATATAACTTTTCTAAATATAACTTTTACTCTCTACTTCACTACATTTTTGATTGAATGTATGTACTCTCTACTCCACTACATTTAAATGGACGCTTATTGTTACTCGTTACATTGTGATTGTGCGCGACAAGTCGGCATCTTTATCTACCACGGCTAATTTGTTGTGCGGACGAGGTGACATCACCATCTGAAGGGTGCTGAAGGTACTGTATGCTATTTATGAGCTAAATCACGTGAATGTGAAATAGCAGCTTGCCTAATACCAGAGCTGCGTCCGAAACCGAATACTTCCATACTATATAGTACGCTAAAATCAGTATGCGAGCCGAGTAGTATGTCCGAATTCATAGAATTCGAAAATCAGTAGGCGAGAAGTACCCGGATGACTTACTACTTCCGGCGAGATTCTGAAGTGCGCAGCCCATGCACGCTGCGCTATCCCATGATGCCCCATGATGAGAGAATTCATGAATAGAAGTGAGGCAACGCAACTGACGCAGGTAGGTCACGTGACCATGACAAAATGGCGGATGTAATACATCCGAATTCCATTCATACTTTTCACGTTCATACTGTATAGAACATACTTTTTAATGGCCGAGTAGTACGTTTAAATTCAAATGCAGTACCTACTGAGTAGTAGGCGGTTTCGGACGCAGCCCAGGTGTTTAATTAGCAACATGTGTCTACAGTGTCTACTTTGTTTGCCACGAACCACGAAAATAAGTGCTTTTAAGAATTTATCATCAAATTTGAGAAAACACATTGAAGTAGGAATCTATTTAATGTTAATTTGATGTGAAAACAGTTAATACAGTTACTGACATGGCAAAAACCACTGCGACATAACATGACTATTTGTGATGTATTTTTCATTGAATTTATATGTACTTTACAGAGTTGAAAAATAACACTGCTGCTCTTTGTTTAAATTTAATACAGCGAAAACATCCTAATCGAAAATTAATTAATTAAACCCCCCCCCCCCCCCATTTTACGACTGAGAGGTGAATCACGTGAGAGTAAGCTCTGATTTTCTTTTGCTGTTAATTTTAGTTTTTAGTTTTTAATTTTAGTAGGTTGCTGTTGGAAGGGGTGTTAGTGGGGCCAGCAGGGGGCGCTCAACCCATGGTCTGTGTGAGTCCTAATGCCCCAGTAAACGTGAAGGGGACACTATACTGTCAGTGGGCGCCGTCTTTCGGATGAGACGTTAAACCGAGGTCCTGACTCTCTGCGGTCATTAAAAATCCCATGGCACTTCTCATGAAAGAGCAGGGGTGTAACCCTGGTGTCCTGGCCAAAGTCCCTCTATCGGCCCTTACGGTCATGGCCTCCCAATCATCCCCTTCCACCGAATTGGCCCTGATCACTGTCTCTCCACTCCACCTATAGCTGGTGTGTAGTGAGCACACTGGTGCCGTTGTCCTGTGGCTGCCGTCGCATCATCCAAGTGGATGCTGCACACTGGTGGTGGTGTGGAGAGACCCCTCATGATTGTGAAGCGCTTTGGGTGTATGGCCATACACAATAAATGCGCTATATAAATACACATTACATTTACATTTACATTTAATTTTTGAAAAATTGTTTCTGCCTTTTTTAAACATTTGAGTTTGAGACTTTTTGTTCTGTTTTTTTTTATCTGTTTTGTTCTGCCATTTTGAAACTTTGAGGTGTTCAATTTAATTTCTACATTAAGAAATCAAACCTTTCTTGGTGTTCTTTGAGCCTACATTCAGTATGAGTAAAATACTTAAGTTCTTTTAAAATCGGTTCCTTTAATACTTTTACCCAAGTCTTATTGGAATTTGTGACTTGTAACTTGTAATGGAGTAATTGTTACAGTAAGGTATCTGTACTTTTACTCAAGTATGGTTTTCAGGTACTCTTTACACCTCTACATTTAACTGACTATAAGACACTTTGCAAGTACATGTCAACTTACAGTAACCCTAACCTAACAGTCTACTAACAGTATAATATAATGAGAATTAGTTGGCATGTAGATGCAATCTAACTTAAATTCACCAAACAGACCATCAAAATAAAGTGACCACATGTATTAATCATTTACTTATGCATCATGCACTGTGAATCAACAAGAACTAACAGTGAACAACTTTATTTTCATTAACTAACATCGAAAGATATGACTGCTGTAATTAATGCATTATGTTAGTGAACACATTATCTAATAATAACTAATAAAACCTTAGTAAAAAAGAGTATTTAAACTGCAAGTTTGTATTATTTTACATTGTATTATATGTATTTTGTATTTTATTTTTACATTATACGGTCACACTTTACAATAAGGGTTATTAATGTTAAGTAATGCATTTACTAACATGAACAAACAATGAACAATACATTCACTACTGTATTTGTTCATGTTAATAAACGTTAGTTAATGAAAATACAGTAGTTCATTGTTAGTTCATGTTAACTCATAGTGCATTAACTAATGTTAACAAGCATGGACTTAAATGTTAATAATGCATTAGTAAATGTTCAATTATGATTAATAAATGCTGTACATGTGTTGTTCATGATTAGTTCATGTTAGTAAATGCATTAACTAATGAAACCTATTGTACAGTGTAACCCAGAAATCTTAATACACACACGCTTCCTTTAACCAGCATCTACACCTCAGTGAAGCTACAGTATATTCATGCACCATTTCCATCTCGGATGATGTGTGAACACAAACACCTTCCTGCCATTGCGTTAACAAATCCGATTATATGTGCCTGTATTATATGTGCCTGTGCTTACCCAGAATGTATTTATGAAAGTCTTTTAGTGTATGTAGCATTTGAAATAAACACCTCTATAAATTATAAGAGCTCAAAAGATATTGCATGATCACGCTTTACAAACACCACCAAAACAAGTCTCCACCATTCAATAATAAATTTTAAAAAAAGTATAGATGTACTTACAAATAGAAGTGACACACCTGAGCAGTTGGAAGAGTGTTGCAAACCTCAGGTGCTGATGAAACTCACATACAGTACATGAGGAAGTCAAATATAGAGGTGTAAAACATAGAATCAACTTCAGCACGCAGCCCCAGTGTGTATATGTGCGCACACACTCAAGCTCAGCCCGCTAGTGAGACACGTTTTGTTGATAGAAATGCTTGTTTGTAGAAGCAGACAAGGTTCCACCTCCCCACTCAACAAGCCAACCTGCCCAAGGACTGGCTCTTAAAGAGACAGGCATCTTTTAGAACAACCATAGTACAGTATAGACGCCTCATGCTTTCTTTTATCATCCCACTTTTCTTTTCTTTTTTTATTTCGGGGGTAGTTTCAACAGAGCATGGAGATTCTTGTTGTTTCATACCGTCCATGTAAACATTCTTCGGCACTGATGGACAGGACTGATAAAGAGGACAGTGTGCCGGCTTGTTTACAGTCTATCAGAACTGCGGTCTGGCAGAAACCCGGGCGAATGCTGTAGCCGTAATAGCTGTTGCTGTAGCGACAGACAAGGCTCCTGATGTTGGGGGCTGATGTGCCCACACGTTCCTCTGCAGGCGATAGTGTGGAGAGGATCAGTTTTCAGCAGATTATCTCAACAATATCAGGCCTGCGGAGCATTCGGGAAACAGGCATCTACATGTCTGCGCTACACTGCGATGGGAGACCGCACTCACACACGCAGCTCAAGTCTAAATTATTAGCCCTCCCGCTCTCCAAAAATGATTTTTCCTGCTTGTTTAAATGACTTATTTAGTAAAAGTCAGCCTAATCAACACAATACTTGAGTTTTTTTTTTTTGGGACAAACAATGTTTCATGTTCAGTCAACTTAAATTGGTAAAAACAATTAAGTTAACTTAATCGATCTGTGTGGGCACAGTCTAAAGGGATTATGTTGCAATCTAGGCTCATTATGAAAACGCAGCCCTGTATACATTTCTGGAGAGTGCCAAATACATCCCAGGATGTACATTAATTAGCAGTTTTTATTTTCACAAATCCGCTGTGTATGATTTTTGAGATCTCAAATTTCTCTAACGAGTGCTCATGTAAAACCACCAGAGGCCGCTGTCGACTGACTGACTGACTAACCGACCGACCTAAAGACCCCCCCACCCACCTCCTTCCCTAAACCCAACCGATAGTGTTTTCAAAAGCACTAATTGACCCGATCACCCCCTTCCCTAAATTAACCGACAAAGTTTTGAAAAACAAAACTCAGAAAAAGAAAAGTGCTCGCCTGATTTGTACCACATTTTCAGATTTTACCACATTCTCACCCTGTTATTCATTTCTTCATTTGCTTTTTAGCTTAGCCCCTTCATTAATCAGGGGTCGACACAGCGGAATGAACCGCCAACTTATCCAAAATATGTTTAACGCAGCGGATGCCTTCCAATCTTTGGGAAACACCCATACACTCTTGCATTCACACACATACACTACGGCCAATTTAGTTTATTCGATTCACAAATAGCGCATGTCTTTGGACTGTGGGGGAAACCACCTGGAGGAAACCAACACGAACACTGGGAGAACATGCAAACTCCACACAGAAATGCCAACTGACCCAGCTGGGGCTCGAACCAGCGACTTTCTTGCTGTGAGACGATCGTGCTACACACTGCGCCACCATGCTGCCACCGTGTTTTTTACTTGTTTATTTTATTTTTTGGCTTTTGTTTTTCTGCTACCTGGTTTCTGGAACCGTTCTTCTCCAGACTCGAACTCTGTCGTCGTGGTCAACTCAAGCTAGCATTTAGCCTAAAGAGCAAATTAAAGGCTTAACTGGGTTAATTAGATTTACTGGGTTAATCAGGCAAGTTGTTGGACAAAAATGGTTTGTTCTGAGGCCAGTTCAGATTCCTTAAAAGGTTTAATTCCAGGCCAAATGAAAACAAGTAAGACTTTTCCAGAAGAAAACATATTATAGGAAACACTTTGCAAATTCCTTGCTCCATTAAACACCACTTGGGAAATATTTCCGAAATTTCACAACAAACTTCAAACAACAGCCTTCAGCTAAATGCGCACACTCGCACTCACCACTTCCATATAAACATATCACTTTAAATGAGGGTGTGTGTAAGGCAGACGTGTAGCGACTGTCTTTTCTCTTTGGCAAGCTGAATCACTACTATCAAAAATGGGTAGACGGGTTTATCGGGCTCCTGAGGGCTTATCCTGTAGAGTAGTTGAATAGGAAAGCACTCAAAGCTCATTTGTTTTGGTTGCTCGCCGCGTGTTTATATTGAGATAATGGCCTGCCCATTACTGCAGCCATTCAGCTTCTGGGTTTTAAGCACACATTTGTATGTCTGTCCTGCTGCGGCCTGATTATGATGTTTGTGCTGAAAAGGGCAGTACGGTAATTAGGCTGTTCAAATCTGCTGCTCTGTCACGAGGGCTTTCTCCATCATTATCCACTGCAGCCTCCACAATTATGGCAATTGTGAAAATTAAGGACATTCATTGAATATCACATGCTGATCTGTTTTAGCATGTATCGTAAGGTTACTACAACTTTTTTTTTTTCTAGCGACGTCATACAGCCATTCAGTAAACATGTGTAGCAAGTTTGTATAGTGTAAAAATAACAATTTGTGAGACTGAATGGACTGTACTGCACTCTTTACCAACATAGGCTCATTCTGAAAACGTAGCCCTATATACGTTTCTGGAGATCACAAATTATGTAGCCAGAGGTACGTATGACTGCATTTAGTCTTTAAAAGAACGCTACGGGGCAGTATGAGGCCGTTTTGTGCTTACCTCCTTAAAGATGGCTTTCCAGCTGTTGCCAGTTTGTAGAGAAGCAAATCATGTACCTTGGCAGATTTGCGATGCAGAGAGAAGTTGATTACAGAATGGTGACAGAAAGCATCTCTGAACATGCAACACATCCAACCTTGAGGCGGATGGGCTACAGCAGCAGAAGACCACACCGGGTGCCATTTCTGTCAGCTAAGAACAGGAAACTGAGGCTACAGTTCACACAGGATCACCAAAATTGGACAATAGAAGATTGGAGAAACGTTGCCTGGTCTGAGGAGTCTCGATTTTTGCATCAACATTCGGATGGTAGGTTCAGAATTTGGTGTAGGGTTACCACTTGTGATACACAAAAACTTGTGATCCCCCCCCCCCCCCCATATAGCCTATTTCTAATTTTAAAATATGAAAAGTTGCAATTTACTACTTCATTTTCTTTACATGGGCATTATGTTGTAATAATTATAATAATTATTACTATTATTATTATTATTATTATTATTATTATTTTCACAGACTGTTCTTTATTTCATGTAGAAAACAGTTAATTACAACAACAACAAAAAAAGACTCCAGCTAGATTTTAACAGACTGGGTCACTGTCATTACCATGTCTGAACAGTTTGACTGCTTTGATTTTTGCGAGCTCTGTCATTGCGGGAATGCTGCTCTCCAGAGGCGTGTTGTCCCACAGACCCCATGGGCCACAGAGAACGCTCTCCGACAAATCGTGCAGTAGCTTAATAATAATTCCTATAACTCTGCAGCCGGGTATCTGTTTCCTCCCACTCTCTGCGGTACTTTTGCAGTCGATTGCGTTTAAACTGTGAAACTTTAAGACGCTGAGGGTTCCCTGGAGAAGCATCTGCCATTAATCTCTGTCCAGACTTGACAGACTCTGCTTAGAAGACCCGCCCTCCTCACTGGACAAAGACCAATCAAACTAACGATGACATCAAGTATTACCCAATCAAAAGTAGGACATCAGGCATGTTCAGTAAATGCGTGTCGGATGATTTGCATGAAAAGCTACTTTTAAAGAATTATGAAAATACGAGAAAAAACCCGTCCCGTATTGATTTAAAACGGGAGGCGCAATTTCATTCTCAAATACGGGACGATTACGTATTTCAAGGGACGGGTGGCAACCCTAATTTGGTGTCAACAACATGAAAACATAGATCCATCCATGCCTTGTATCACCGGTTCAGGCTGGTGGTGGTGGTGTAATGGTGTGGGGGATATTTTCTTGGCACACTTTCATAAGTACCAATTGAGCATCGTGTCAATGCCACAGCCTACCTGAGTATTGTTGCTAACTATGCCTCAATGACCACAGTGTACTCATCTTCTGATGGCTACTTCCAGCAGGATAACGCGCCATGTCATAAAGCGCGAATCCTCTCAGACTGGTTTCTTGAACATGACAATGAGTTCACTGTACTCAAATGGCCTCCACAGTCACCAGAGCTCAAACCAATAGAGCACCTTTGGGATGTGGTGGAATGGGAGATTGGCATCATGGATCTGCAATTAACAAATCTGCAGCAACTGCCTGATGCTATCATGTCGGTATGGAACAAAGTCTAGGAATATTTCTAGTTCCTTGTTGAATCTATGCCACAAAGGATTAAGGCAGTTCTAAAGCAAACGTATGTCCAACCTGATACTAGTAAGGTTTACCTAATAAAATGGCCAGTAAGTGTATATCAATATGGAAGTTAGTGAAGAAATGAAGCTTTATTTGTAAAATATCTTTCAAACTGGCGACGCAGTAGGTAGTGCTGTCACCTCACAGCAAGAAGGTCGCTGTTTCGAACCTCGGCTCAGTTGGCGTTTCTGTGTGGAGTTTGCATGTTCTCCCTGAGTTCGCGTGGGTTTCCTCCGGATGCTCTGGTTTCCCCCTCAGTTCAAAGACATGCGGTACAGGTGAATTAGGTAGGCTAAGATTGTCCGTAGTGTATGAGTGTGTGTGTGTGTGGATGTTTCCCAGAGATGGGTTGTGGCTGGAAGGGTATCCGCTGCGTAAAAACGAGCTGGATAAGTTGGCGGTTCATTCCGCTGTGGCGACCCCGGATTAATAAAGGGACTAAGCCGACAAGAAAATGAATGAATGAATGAATCTTTCAAACTCAAAAAAAAAAGTATTTTTATGTATTTATTTAGCTTTCACCATGGTATAGTAAATGGGAATATCTAGGTAGTATATAAGTATATAGAAATGTGAATATGAAGCCACATATATAATATATATACGTAATTAGTAATAGCATTAAAAACAGAATCATAGTTCAAGATTTCAGGTCTGCTCATGCTAATTATTTCCCAGAAGCTTTACCCATCCTGCCCCTCCCGATTTGTGGTCTAGTTGTTGTTCAGGCTTTTCCGCTTCGCTTGTTGTGTTTTCATCTTAATATAAAATTTCCATTTACAAGAAAACAACACACCTTCTCCCTCTGCCAAAGTAAATTACATCAGAAATACAATCTGTACTTTTTCTTGGGTTTTCCAGGGAAACACAGGAACTTTGATAGTCACGGTATTTGTTTTGTAAAAGAACGTAATCTCCAGCTAAGCAGTCGTAGTTGTAGCTCTTCTCCTTTCATTTTCAGAACTGTATTATAGTTCATTACAATGGGATAATTACACATAATACTGGTCAGTTTGTATAATATATACAGTTGAAATCATAATGATTCTTTTTTCCAACCCAGACTCATTCTGAAAAAGTACCCCTATATATATTTTTGGAGAGCGAAAAATATGTCCCAGTAGGTACTTTTTTTTTTTTTTTTTTGCAGTTTTTATTGTTGTGAATCCACTAGAGGCTGCTGTGTACACCTTTTTTAGATCTTAAATTTCTCTCGCCACCAGAGGCCGCTGTCGACTGACCAATCAACTGACCCACCCTCCACCTTCCCTAAACACAACCAACAGTTTTCAAAAGCACCGATAGACTATCGCCCACACACTTCCCTAAACCCAACCAACAGTTTTCAAAAGCACCGATAGACTATT